GAGCAGCCATGCCAAAGGAAACTCACAAATCACACACTCTGGGCAATGGGACAACTGGCAGAAAGACAAAAGTAAAACAACTGCCTCTCTACCTTTCACAGCCTTCCTCAGCTGACACCACTGCAGTTTGCTGCTGAATTGCATCAGCTAAGCCTGCAGTTTCTCTAACCAACCTCTTTCTGCAGTCCCTCATGGCAGGAGGAAGTGGGGCAGCTGAGACTGCGACAGCGCTGCAAAGCAAAGCTCAATGAACAGAAGTGGGCATGGGGAGCAGGCAGACATTTCAGGTGGCAGCCCTGGGTACGTCCTACTTGGGCAGTCCCTTGCAACGGAGGAGCAAGGGTAGGAAGCAGTCACTGTGGCACTTGAAATAAAGACAGAAATTCTCAGGCACAACAGCTGATGTTCGATCATTCAATTTTTCACAAACTACAGATGTCAACAGTATGATTTTTGCTGTCAATATCAATTTGGAAAGTGCCATTGATAGTGTGCCAGTACAGCTCGATAACATTTGAATCTACAGACCGAATCTGCACTGAAATCCTTACTTTGTTTTTGTCCAATTCAAACAGACTGCCAAGGGCCTCTCTGTAGGAGCAGGCCAGGCAAACACATAGGGCAGCTGAACTACAGAAACCCGGTGTCTTTTTGCCTTGGTGGGTCAGCCAAGAAGCTTTTATGGTGCTTTGAACATCTTCCTCCCTGTATGGGTCAGCAGTGTTATTTTGGGATGGACTTATATCTCACAAAGATGTCCAAGGGGAGGGAAGTAGTATGACCCTGAAAGCTCTTCTAGATCCTATCAGGAACTGGGTGCAGACCCAAAACAGAGCCAGGAGAAACTGGTCCTAATTCTATGAGAAATACCCGCCTTTTTTGATATGCAGCCATGTAGAAGATTTCCTTTTTCATTTTTATCCTGAAAACAGAAATGGAGCAGTTAATGGGAGAAGAGAAAGACCATGAATACAACAAGCTGAGTAAAAGTTTCTCTGCAAATAACAGTTTAACATCACTAAGAAGTTAGGTTAAAATGGTCTCAAAGTCTAAAATTAGTTACATTTTAAACTAACAGCATATGCTTTTATTGTCTCTGATCTAAAATATAATCCCAGGAGGCTGTGAAAAGCATGCAAATTACAGAAAGCTAATTTGCTCCAGCAGCGACACCTCCCCTGTAGTTGGGAGGTCTATTAGGCCTGGCGTACTCGCCATTATTTGCATATTAATAGCACCTGCTGAAATACTTTGGGATTTACTTCCCTTGCCAGCAGAGGGACAAAACAAAACAACAACAACAAAAAAATCATATAAAATTCCTTTCATATGGCTTTGATGAACAATAAACTATTTAGACAGAGCTAAGAATGCCAAATTAGTGAGAGGCGACAGGGTGGTATTGTAGATGCCATCTGTGATTCTCAGAGAAACCGGACTGCAAATTTGCTAACAAAGAAAAGCCACCAAAAAAAAAACCCTACTGAAAAAAAAAAACAAACCAACAAACCCACCACCAAGGAAGCCCTCTCTGGAAAGTGCTGGGCAATGTGCAAGCACTCACTTGGCTCAGGTTTGAAGAATGGAAAAGTTTAACTAAAGAAATCCAGACACTGTAGCAGGGAAAAAAAAAAAAAGAAAAAAAAAAACACCATGAAAAAATCTCCACACATCCCCAACCACTGAAAGTAGAGCCCCCCAAAGTGGACCTTGATTAAAAACCTACAAACCCCAAGCTTTGATACTAGCCAGGCCTGCGAGGCCCTGTCCCTTGCACATAAAACAAGAAATAAATTAAAACCAGTCACAGCCTGAGATTTACTTAATAAGCCAGCTTCCAACCTCTGCTTGTGACCACTGCTTCCCCTGCTGGCCCCCTGGCTATAAAAAAGCCCCTTCTATGCTTCTGTATCTCATCTTCCTTGGGTGGGGATCACAGCAGCTGCTTCTCTAGCAGGACCCTGCATGTTGGAGAATGGATCCCCAGCCCAGCAGGATGCATGGGGAGGGGGAATGGAGCCCCAGCCCAGAGAGACCCCGTGGTCCCTCCCTGTGCCCAGTGCCTTTGCTCCACGTGGGGCAAAGAGGATGCTCCCAAGCAGCACGTTGTTGTTGGCCTCTCGTCTCCCCACACAGACAGAGCTCCACGTATCTTCAGCTCTGTGCAGTCAAATGAGACCTATGAAAAACTTGCTCAGTGTCAATTATAATTACCAAAGGAGGCAATCAAACATTACAGCAACAGGGACCCCTGAAATGCTTAAGACAGGCAACTCCCACCATGGCTGTCAACAAATGCTAATTCTCATTAATGTATATGTAGCTCTTAAATGCTGCAGTGGTGCTAGCTATTAGTATTAGCTAGTAGATAATTAGTAGCAAGCAGTAGAACTGGTTAAAGTTACAGAATGGAAAGCATCTGCCCCACCACAGCCCTCCCAAGACTGTGCTGGAAGGAAGGGAAGGAGTGTGGGGAGCCAGGGGTGTCTGCCCTGGGTCTGGGAATCTGGGGCACCTGCCAGCACTCTGCCAGGTGCTGCCCCAGCCCTATGGGAAGGAGCTTTCCAAACATGAAAATCCATGTATTTGTAATGACAGCAATAAACAAAACAACAAAGACTACCCTGAAAAGCATAAGCCCAGGCCTTTACCTATGATAACAAATTGAATTGGATATTCCTTACCTGAAGTTTCATGACTAATTAGCAAACACAATTATCCACAAATGCATGTATGTCCTGTTATCCTTGTAGCCATTTCAGCAGCCCCGTTGCAAGCCTGCAGCTTGTGATCTGGCAGCTCTAGCAGCCCCCAGAACACAGCTTTTCCCTTTCCCCCTGCGACCCTTTTTTTTTTCTTTTCTTTTTCCCCAAAAAGTTCATGGCAGCCGATGTTTTACCACCTGCAAACCGGGGGAGAAGAAAAGCAAGGGGGAGAGGATCAATATACACAGTATTCAGCAAGAGCGTGTTGTGGTGTGGGGAGCTGTGAGGTGTTTGCATTGTCTGTGAGGGGATCCATAGTGGCACTGCGGCTGCCTTCGGCGACAAACTTTCATCTGCTAAGTTACAATTATGTTGCAGGAAATGCTACCCCAGACTGCAACTAATTTGTGAATCCCAGAAAGGCAGATCGCTGATTCCTCATCAGGGCTGCAGAACCTGATCTATAAAAATTTGGGCCTCAGCAGGAGGTGGTGTGTGAGTGTGGTTTGCATTTCAATTCTTAGTCCACCACAACCTTTAAATCTTCCCGCAGCACTATCACAATGGAAATTTTTGTTCACAGTGTGCTCAAAATACATATTAAAAAAAAAAAGAACAAAAATCCTAGCACAATGGAAGTCAGTTGTTAATGGGAAAGAATGCTCAAATTGTTTCACAAAACACCATTACATCAGAGTCTTTCATCATTTTATGGGGGATCAAATTCCCTGACACCATCTTCAGGGACTCCATGTGGCGCTCATCACTATCATTCCACTGCCACAAACACCACAGCCCTTTCAATTTTTATCTGCCCAGAACCCAGAATATGTTACATCATTTAGTTTTTGTAAGAAGCTTTTCCCTGTGAAGAGTTCACAACAAATAAAAAGGCATTTCCCTGAGAAAACAAGCTTGTGAATGTTGGGTAGGGGTGATTTGGGGCAAGCCCCATGGCAGGAGGTGAGAGCAGCTTCGCATGCTTCCTGCTGACTGATAGCACGGTTCCATCAGGGCTGGCAACGGCGGCATGGCGCTCACACAGTTCCCCAAAACCTTGATGGGTCAGACCAGGAAACCTGTATTCACACTGAAAATTAGTTATTTGTAGTAATAGGGAGGCTTCCCAGCGCTGCCACAGAACCAGCAATCAAGTGTGCAGAGAGAGGTAAAAAAAAATCTACTCCTAGCTCCATCTGCCGAGGAAATATTCCACATCAGATGCTCTCAGCCTTGGAACCCAGTGCCAACAAAGCCAAGACTCGATGCCTTTCCTGTGTGTTTGTGAAGCCAATGGAGACAGGCACTTTGAGAGGAAGCCAGGACGCAGAGCCGTCCGTGGGCCACAGGCAATGAGTATTCACATTCTGGCAGAGCTCCGACACCTCTCCTTGCTGGACGTGGAGCCATCTTTGGGCCTAAAAAGGCACACATGACCGTGAACTCAAATTTACATTTATTTTGGCAATTTGATATCTGTTTTCCTACGTGTGGAGTTTTATTGCCACTTACTCAGATATGGCTGATCTCAGCAGACTGTTCTCAGGACATGCTCTCCAGCTGATTGAATTTCCAGGCTCCAAACCTTACAGCCCAAGTAAAGGGTGTAAGATTTTGTCTATTGGCAAAAGGAGAACTTCAATTAATAGACCCCAATACACTTCCATGTTCTTTCTGCTTTTCCTACCCATGGAGTTGGTAGGAGTTCAGCAGCTACATGCCTTTATGAAAGGCATTTTATCTACCCATCTAATAGAGGCATTTTCATTCCCTTGCTGTGATTTGCCGTGTTGGGACCTGGCAATTTGCTTTACTGCATATCAATTCACGCTGGCATTTGTAGGATCCCAGCACTTTCCCTGTGAACTTTCCCACAAGTTACTCCCCTAAGAAAAGCAAATCTCTACCATGAAGGGTACAGCTCTTCTTGAAACGCTCTTGGTGCACAGTTCCATAAGGAAGAGGCCAAAGTTTGGATAAGTCCCTCCCACTTCTCAGTCCCTGCAGTATTCAGAGCCATCTATGAGGACAAATTCTGCACCCCGAGGTCTGACAAGTCCTTGATTCTCCCAGGGTTTCTGAGTCCAAAACCTTACTTACTAACTGAGATATTTGCTTGCACTCCACTGAGTGTCAGAGCCCAGTCAGAGTATTTGAAGCTGGAAAAAGAAGCCTGATCCTGAAGGTCCTGCTCAAAAACCAAACAAAACCAAACAAAACAAGACTCATAGAAAGCAAGGGAAGATTGTCCAATGCAGGAAGTACAATTTTATTTTCTTTAAGGACACAGCCTTGCTATCAGCACAGAAAGCATTCAGCAGTATAGATCACACCAACTGCTCTTTGGTGTAACATCTCTGGCATTCAAAACATACAACTTCTGTGTTTGTACTACATTTCTCTCACAGCTTACATCGAGGCCAAACAGACAGCATTTTGCAAAGGTCTTCTAAAATAAGCTTATTTGAAAGAGCAAGGTCAATGCCCAACATATGTCAGATTCTGTGAGTAGAAATCAAAGAGTTAGGAGCAAATGGAATGTGTCAGAACTCAGTGGTTTTCCATGCCAGGCTCTTCTTCCATGTTCACGTTCCTGCAGCAAAAAAAAAAAAACAAAACAACAAAACACAACAAAACAGTATCAATCCCATCATATGGACTTCAGCTTTGGAAAAGTGCCTAAAAACATCCTCCCAGTGCCCATGCATAAGCTGGTTAGCTCAATAAATAAAACTAACGCATAGATCAGTGTTTGGTTGGACACGCTATTTATTGTCTATACAACTGTATTTTTCTTTCAATGGGACAGATGCAGATTCCATGCGTCGGCCCTAGGCTCTATTAAAAACAGTTTAAAAACATCAGTAATGTATTAAATTCCGCTTATAATGTGTCCAATTGAAGGAAAAAGAACACTAAAATAGGAAAAAAAAAAAAAAAAAAAAAAAAGTATTAATGGGATTTCAGAATTATTTAAAAAACATTCTGCTCCATTTTTATCTTTGCAAAAAAGGGCAATTTTTTTACATAAAAGAGGAAAACTTTTTCTCTGTTCAGATAATGTAATTTGGCCTGGTCTCTTTAACCATGCCTTGCAGAACAAAATCTGTGATTTTGGTTAAAATACATTATTGTCACTTCAGCCTCCTATTTTTGTACTTTAAATTGATTGTAATGGCTGTGCCTTTGGTGGCTTGTGTCTCACCATGCATCTATGTCACTTACAGCACCTCTCACTATTGCTTTTCCAAATAACCACCACTGGATAATCACCTCTTCTCCTTTCTCCCAACTTTACTGCTCATTTCCCTCTGTATTTGCAAGCTGGTGCAGCCTGCAGACTGTTTGCTCTGTAATGTCTTTAACATTTGGCTGTTGCACTGGCACACCACAGTCAGGAGTTTAAAGGAAGGATAAAAGCTGCCTGAAAAATGCCAAGCCAAGAGCTCTACAGGTAGGATTGTTTCTACCCCTGGCCCGTTTTCCTTGCTGCAACCTGACTGAGGAAAGAACAGGTGAGAAAGGAGGAGTGGGGTGTGACTGGAATTCCTCCAGCTGCACGCTGATGGCTCAGAACCTGGCAGTGCTGTGCAGCACAGGGCTGCATTCAACTGGGCCCTGCTGCTTGATAGAATCATAGAATGGCTTGGATTGGAAGAGAACAAAAAGTTTAATTGTAACCCCCTACCTTAGGCAGTGTTGCCAACCACTAAATAAGGCAGTGGATCAGGTTCCCAAGAGCCCCATAAAACCTGTCCTTGGACACCTCCAGAGATGGGGCATATACAACTTCTCTGGGCAGCCTGTGTCAGCACCTCATCACCCTCAGTCAAAAATTTCCCCAACATCTAATCTAAATCTCCCTCTTTTTAGTTTAAAACCATTCCCCTTTGTACTATCACTATCTACCCATGTAAAAGCTGATCTCCCCTTCTTCTTATAAACTCCCTTTAAGTACTGGAACTGGACTACCAGATCTTTCCTGAACCTTCTCTTCTCATAATGTCTTCATGAGAGAGGGGCTGCAGCTCTCTTCTGCATGCAGTACTCCAGATGAGACCTCACGCAGGCAGAGTAGAGGGGGACAATCCTCTCTCTCTCCTGGCTGTCCATCCCCCCTGTGATGCAGCCCAGGACACTGTTGATTTCCAGCTGCAAGCACACACTGCTGGCTCATGTCTCCCAGTCTGTACACATATCTGAGATTGCCCTGACCCAAGTGCAATAGCATGCACTTAATTCTGTTGAACCTCATTAGGTTCTCATAGGCCCATTTCTCAAACTTGTCCAGTTCCTTTGGATGGCATTCACTCTTTCTACCGTATCAACTGCAACACTCAGCTTGACAGCTCATCTGTTAACTTGATGAGGATGCACTCAATCCCTTCATCTATTTCACTGATAAAGATGTTCAAGAATAGCAGTCCCAAGATGGACCCCTTGAGGGACACCACTTGTCACTGGCCTCCACCTGGATGGAAAGCCATTGACCACAACCCCCTGCTTGCGACTCACCAGGCAATTCCTTATCCACTGAATAATCTACCCATTTTTCTTCAATTTAAAGATAAAGAAGTGTTGGGGGATCATGTCAAAGACCTTGCAGAAGTCTATGCAAATGACATGAGTTGCCCTTCCCTTCCCTTCCACTGATGCCATCATTCCATCATAGAAGTTCACCAGATTGGTCAGGCAAGATCTGCCCTTGGTGAAACAATGCTGACCGTCTCAGATCACCTGCTCATCTCTCTTGTGCCTTAACATATCTTCTAGGAGAATCCGCTCACTGATCTCCTCAGGTAGAGAGGCAAAGCTCACTGGCCTGTAGTTCCCCAGGTCTTTCTTATGAATGGGCATGATGTTTCCCTTTTTCCAGTCATGACTTTTCAAATATAACAGAGAGTGGCTTAACAAGCACGTCAGTCAGTTCCTTCAAGATTCTGGGATGCAGGTCATTGGGTCCCATGGACTTACACACATTTAATCTCATAAGGCAGTCTCAGACTTGATTTTCTCTTACAATAGAGGGATTTTGCTCCCAAGACCCCCATCTAAGTGTTTGGGGATGCAAGGTTCAAGCTTGTGAGAGACAGAAGAAACCTCACTGCCAGAGAAGACTGAAGCAAATAACTTTTTTAGTACTTCAGCCTTCTCCATGTTGTAGCCAGTTTCCCCTTCTCATTTATCAGGGGGTACCTGTAAAATCTCTTCCTGTTAATTTTCATGTCCCTCACCAAGCACAGTTCCATCCGGGCCTTTGCTTTCCTGATCCCACCTGTGCACATCCAGACAGCATCCCTGTATTCCTCCCAGGTGATGCATCATTGTTTCCTTTGCCTGCACATGCCCTTCTTCTTCAGTTTGACTGGCAGGTCCTTGCTGAGTCCTGCCAGTTTCCTGCCTCCTTTGCTTCCTGACAGCACTTTGCAGGATGGAAGCTGCCCCAGACAAACCTCTTCAGGAAGGCAATGTTTCCATGGAAGACTTTCCACCAAAAAGGAGCCATCAGCAGAATACTCAATGGCTCTGGCTGAAAATTACAACTGGATTTGTCAATGGCATCACAATCCTCTCAAATCCCAGAATGCACATGGTGACATGTAGACACCATAAAGCTTTTTCCTTCTGATGGGATGATCCTTTCTCCTTTGCTTTGCATAGATCTGGTTATTAACTGAAGAATTATTTACCTGGCATAACTATTCTATGCCATACATAGATGTGTTAAACTAAATACACTGCTGTGACTCCATCTATCCAAGCATCTACACTGACTGTGTTGTGAGAAAAAAAAACAACACCCTAAGCAGTGATATTAGGAAGGATCTCTTTATGTACATTTATGAGATCTGCCACCAGGTGACTCCATTCTAAAATATCCATATTTTTGTAAAACAAAATGCTACTACTTTCATGCAAGATGAGCATCATAATAATGTCTCCCTCCCGCCCCCTCCACCCCACCCCCCAATTCTAGTAAGATTTATCACTCTGAAAAAATGTTATTAAATAGATAGGACTCTAACTTAAGACATGAAGACTCTTTTTTGTTTGTTTTTTGTTTGTTTTTTTTTTTGACTAGCACATGAAAATGTATTAGAGTGAGGGATTTCCAGAACAGCCTGATCTGTTCCTGTCTAATCAGACCTGATTAATTCAAATCAAGCTGCAATCCTCCGTTTTATTTTGCTTTACAAACTCAAGATCAACAACAAATCAGCAGTATGGAGCTATCACAGGCAGTTAACACGAGAAGCCTACAGATGCTGAGTCTCATGGAGTCAAATGGATATGATTAAACATTTGGAATCATTTATTAATATTTTATATATTCAAATATATACAGAGCAGATAGGACCTATTAGAGGGCTGCTCTTCATAGGGGACTCTATTATTTTTATGCCTTAGAACAGGGGATCCATCTCAGGTGTCATAGGATTTTTCTTCAAAATAGAAAAATTATTAACAAATAACAGGGTTATGTGGGAGGATTTGTAAGTAACACCAAGCTGCACCAAACCACGCAATGATCTCCACTGATAATCAAAGCATTGGTGAGATAGAAAAAATAAGATGAGACAAAATACAACAATCTCACAAATCCAAGATTGCAAATGCAAAATAGATTGCCCATTCACGAAGTATTTCAGAGATTTACCGAGCCATTATTTCCGTGGAACACAGATGTAGAGAGGCTCTCAGCCTGACCAATTTAATCCACATCAGACAAGGGAGACATAGGGTCAGGAGGCTGAACATGGATTTGGGCGCTTGGCACAGCTGTTTTCCTTAGGTGCAATACACTTGTCACTAGTGGTGGCACTTTGCATTTGCTGTATGGCAGCATATGCGCTTGCCACATTTGGGACCCATTATATCTCTTTACCCTCCAGCCACTTCCCTTCCCTTCTTGTTAGCTGCATGTCCATATATTATTCCGTACTCTTTCACTACATTGCAGTGCCAGCTCTTTGCCCCCTGCTTGCTCCACTGACTGCACACACCGCCAGCATGCATTACAAGCTTCCCATATTACACCCAGCTGCAGGCAGGGGTTCCATTTTTATATAAATTGCAGAATGTATACATTCATATATGCACGTGTACCCACACAAACACAGTCATTCTGTAAGGCATCACATTTATTCCATCAATGAAATACTTACCTACTGAGAAACATTTTTGCTATCAGAAAGACTGCATATAGAAAAGTTGAGGGATAACCAAGGAAATCTTTCAAAGCATAGCACAAATCCAATCTAGAAGCAAAGGTGAAAAAAAAAGGGGGGGGGGGACAGAATATATGTTCACATTTCAGCCTCTGCAATTACAACCATATTTACTGCAACAGCACAGACCAATTAGTGCATGTTGATATACCAGCTTTCAGATAAGGCATGTACAAAAAAGGCAGTTAAATGTTTCCGCTTGCTTTGTACACAGTGACACAGACAGGATTGACTGCAGGACTCAATTTTGTTCTCTGTTGGGTCATTGCATATGACAACAACAGTTAAAAGAAATTTGGCTGATGTCTTATTTGGAGGGGCTGAGCTGCCACCTTCCCCATTTTCACACTCCAGATTTATAGAGTTTCCTGCCATGGCACTGGGACACTGCTTCAAAGGAAGAAGGCTCTGATCTGGACAGATGAGCTCACCTGGGCAAGATCCTGTGCAAGGAGTGCATGAGCCTAGCAGGGTGGAACCCCTGGTGGTGTGGGTGTGCAGCCAGAAAGATCACAAGCATCACATAAAAACCCTTGCACTCTTTTAGAATCACAGAATCACAGAATAGTTTGACTTGGATGGGACCCTTAAAGGTCATCTAGTCCAACTCCCCTGCAATGAACAGAGACACCTACAGCCAGATCAGAGTGCTCAGAGCTTCATCCAGCCTGACTCTGAATAGAGTTAAAGACTAGAATAGAATCACCGAGGTTGGAAAAAGCCTCAAAGATCATCTAGTCCAATCACTCACCTGTCACCAATATCTCCTACTAAACTACGTCCCCAAGTACAACATATGAACATTTCTAGAACACCAGGAACAGTGACTCAATCACCTCCCTGAGCAGCCTATTCCAGTGTCTGACTCCTCCTTCTAAGAAGAAATTATTCCTAATATCCAAACTGAGCCTCCCCTGGTGCAACTTGAGGCCATTCCCTCTCGTCCTGTCTCTAGTTACGCAGGAGAAGAGGTTGACTACTACTTCACGACAATCTCCTTTCAGGTTGTTATAGTGATAAGGTCTCCCCAGAGCCAACGTCTCCAGAGATGGATCATCCACCGCTTCTCTGGGCAATCTGTGCCAGTGCCTCACCACCCTTACTGTAAAAAATGCCTCCCTTATATCCAGTCTAAACCTCCCGTTCCAGTTTGAACCCATTTCCCCTTGTCCTATCACAACATACCCTTCTACAGAGTCTGTCTTCTTTCTTACAAAACATCTTACAGAACATTATAAAGAACATTAAAAATGCAGCAGGCTCTGATTCCAGTCCTCATACCTGAAACTATGTCCTTGATGACCAGTGTTCAGCTCAGGCCAGATCTGCCCCTTGTCCCACTGCAAACCAGAACACTCCAGGGTTTGAGGACTTCACACACAGATGCACAGATGGGAGTTGTGTTGGAGGCACCTCTCAGAAAAACAATCCATATTCAGCTTTTCTCTTCGCAAAAACAAGCAAGTGTAGAATCAAAGTTTTCAGTTCATAATATAGACGCAAACTCTATTTGAAAGAGAAAAAAATACAGATTGCTCAGATTTGGTCTGTTTGTGTTTTCATTAAAGCTATCCTCAAGTGTTTTCTAAAATCTCACCCTAAGGAAGAAATCACAACAAGCCATTAGTGACCAAGTTATTTTTGTATGGGGGGGAGGACACGGGTGAGTGACTGAGCCCAGTGTTACACAAAAAGTAGCTGCTGGCAACTCTGTCCTTCCGTGCATTGCGATGTTTCCAGACCTTACATCCCTTCTCCCATATATTAGCACACGGAAGGAGAAGGCTTAGGAAGGATCAAAACATCAGGGAGTACCTGGTCTCCTCTTTGAGGTGACAATTTGTAAATCACCATGGGGAGGCAGCTTGCTCACTTTTTTCTGTGCAGTTTTGAGGGATTTCATTGGAGAGACAGAGACCAGCTGCAGAGCAATGGGAGGTGGGTTTCCATCAGTGCCTGTTGCTGTAGATGAGGAGGTTGTTTCACCTTCCAGTGCAAGTGATGCAAATGAAAATCCAGAGCTGGGGCTGGACAGATGAGAGACTGGAAAATGCCTGTTTGTTTTAATGTAAATAGTTCCAATATGCACATACATTTCATGCCATCTCACCGCTCTTACAAATGCCAGGAATGTTAAGTAGGTGGAGGCCCCTCTCAGCACTGACTTGCTCGTGGCTTACAGCAGCACTCCCCAGGCACAGCTCTTGGGCTGGACAACCAGCACAGTGGCAAAACTTTCCTGGTTGAGGCCATCTTGGCAGAGCTAGAGGGCTGGCAGCATTTGCCACAGGCACTGTACAGGTCCCAACCGCATGGGAGTTGAGCAAGGAGGCTGAGCTCTCCTCTCTGGACTTTGCATGCAAGCCATGTCGTCTTCTATCTCCTAAGCACAAATTTTAGGTTAATTTTAATCAGCAGTGCCCAGCCGTGTGACAAAGTAGCCCTTCAGGAACAAAACTTGAAAACTCCTTGCTGAGGAGTCTGGTGGTAAAGCCACCACCTGTCATCTGGGTCAGAGTTTTATCAGACATCAGGATCAGGAGGGAACAAGCACTTGTACTTTTTGATGGCCAGCTGCACTGCTTGGAGAGAGGAGCCGATTCAGGCTGCCAGTATTGGCTCTCACACAGATAATAAACTAGACTGCCCTTTCTCCTGACATCACACTTCAGTCAAAAACTTTCCCGCAAAATGTCACTTTCAAAGTTGCAGCTTTAAAAAAAAAAAAAAAAAAAAAAAAAAAGTCTTTATAAAAAATTCATGGCCACAATGATCTGATAATGCAGCTTTCTGATACCAGCAGATGTTTTGTCTAACATGTTCCCTGAAGCTGTACTCTGTGCCTTCATATCTTTCATTTCCAGTTGCTATCTGCTGACTGTGGGATGTCATGTACGTACCCTATAGCGATGCGCAGCAATTCGCATCTAACACCGCCGTGCGTAATGAGCTTCACAAGATGCTTGTCGCAATAACTCCGCACTTCCCCAACCATATGGAACACAACACTCCAAAGCCCACAGACACTTTTTTTTTATTACAGTTCAGATCCTTAAAACATAATCTGTGTGATGTCTAGTGAATGTACGTGAAGAGCTGCTGAAAACAAAGTTAACACTTGTTCACATCATCTGTTACAAATGTCCAATTTGGGACAATAAATTTCCTCGGAACCTGTTCTTTTGCTGACTCGTTGCTTTATCTTTTTTCTCTTTCTCTCATGTCGTTTTTTTTTATGAACTATGCATATGTATTAAATGGGATTTGTTATCCCTAGATACCAATTTGCATAAAGTGCAAGCCATCATTGGTTGGAGAGAAGCAAATTACTTCTCCAGCAAGATCACACTTCTTTTTTTTCTTTTTTTCCTTTTTTTTTTAATTTTAACAAACCGCAGGCAGAGACTGTTAACAGCACTTAGCCAGATATGCAAAGTATCACTTTTCTCAAAAGCAGCCTGATCAATGAGAAAAAAAAAAAAAAGAAGGAAGGGAGGGTATTATTCAGTTAAGTACAATGCAGGAATGACCCAAGACCAAGGCAGCTAACCCAGCCATCACCTGTAACTTTTTCTGCCAGAATCCAAATGCAATACAATTCAAGTGTGGCTTGGCAGCCAGGACACAGAGCTAAATGCGATGCCTGAGCAGAGCCTCCCAGAACGACCATTGCCTTTTCCAAGTGTGCATAGTGCATTTCCAGAAGTCTCAAGCTTGCTCGGCAATATTACACATCGCTCAGTTCCCTGGCATAAGCCTTCCTTTCTCACTCACATCCCTACCCATTTATTCACACTGGGGATCTGGAGAACTGTGCAAACACTGGCCTGAAATACCTTTAACAGTGCAGGGAGGCTCTCCTCTGCCCTTCCCAATTTGTCCGGCTCCTGGTGCCAGTGGTCCTCTGCAGGATGGCAGCTGCCATCCTGGCTGGCTTTGGGCAATCATTGTCTCCCTTTTTTCCTAATTCTCCTCATCATACACACCTGTGTTGGCAAGAGCCTGAACGTTAACAATGGAACAGATCCCCAGTTCTGAGCTAGCTCCCTATAATATCTTCACTTTCAGGGAGAAAGATAAAGAAAAGGGCAAAATGACAGTGACAGGATGTTACCAACATTTCAGGAACCAAATTACCTGAGCAAATCTGTGACGCTCATATGATGTAAAATCTCACCAGCCTGCTGTTAAAAGACCATGTACCATGAGACACGCAGTTGAAACATGTGGGGTATTACATTCAAAGGAAGAGAATAAAATCAGCATGGACGTCGAGCTGCAAAGTTTCAAACTTGAGTCAGGTCTTCTCAAGGATTCAGCCCTGGGACATTGAGGTGCTGCAGAGGAGTCCTCTCAAAACATCAGCTTTGATTCTGCTGAGATCTCTAAATATGACTGTAGGACCTGTCTCAATAAACAAGCGCTCACAATTCCATCCCAAATCCATCAGTATCATGTGCTTGGATTGTTTTACCTCTGAATTTTATGGATAGATGATAGTCTTTTTTAAGAATGGTTCCTGAGATCACAGAGGGCATTAGTAATTCCCTGTAGAAAGAGCACAATTAATGAGGACAGTGGTGCTGCCTAGGTGCTGAGGTGCCTTTCAGGGAACTGTGGTAGCCAAAAGAACAAGTTAGAAGCCAGGGTGCCCTAATTCTCAAGAGGGAACCTGTATTTCCTTGCTGCCTTTATCCAACGACACACAAACAGCCACAGATTTTATGCTGTGTGACAATTTGGAGGTGGAAAAAATAGTTTCCGTCTGCAGAAATATTGGCATCTTCTTGCGGCTTTTGCAAAAAGGCAAAAATCTCACAATTTCACACATCTCTACTATTAAAGTATGCTGCTTTGTTTCCATATTTATCTTTGTCACATTTAAAAGGAATGAAATAGAATTTCAGAGAAGACCCTCACTTGCAAATGATCACAAAAGAACAAAAAAGTCACACAGAGATTACGAGAACTCACAAGAGGGAATGAAGTGACAGTTTTGGAAGTGGGGCTTTATTGTAACCAAGGGCCCTTCAGGTTTTAACCACAAAAAATCACCATGGGGCCAGACGGAATCACGTTTGGCACACTTACCCTTGGATGGAGAGGAAAACGTAGATCTAGTCTCTCTGAGTCTGCTGGCTTAACAGGCAGGAAGGATCTACAGCTTCATCTTCCGGGCTTCTCCCACTGGAAAACCCTGGCACGATTACCTGGCAGCTCACAGAGGCTGCTTTAAGGTGCTCCTGTACAAGTGCAGCTGTAGCCTGATTGCACTGGAGACAGATGCAGCCAAAGAAATATACTGCTAAATCTTAGCAGAACATAGCGCATGATACCCAACCGTAGCGTAGGCACTAGATAACATGCAATCATGGTCTCCTACTGCAGCAAATTCTACATAAACCCAGGCCTTTGAAAGAAAAGTAGTAAAAAAAAATGTGTTTTTCTCATTCCTTATCTGTACCTACTCCATTTTACCTAAGGCTGGCTATTAGCTCAGCTGGTGATGTCACTTACTTCACTGGAACCTGTTATCAAGAAAGATTTCTCACAGGATTTTCCATTTTGTGAGCTTTGTGCTTTGTGCAATGTTGTATTTCATTCCATTAGATAAAGGGTTAAGTAATTCACATTTTACCCATATAGACTAAGTTGTACTCCCTGTGGGTTGTTGGCTTTCCATTGGCTAGAGTGATGACCTTGGAAACAGACAAAAATGATGCATTGTTGCAATAAATATTATAGCTTGCACCTGTTTCTAATTAAGTCTGCCAAACAATTTCAGAGATACTGAAAAGAGAAATGCGTTGGCTTCTAATCGGGCGCTCTTTGCTGTTTGATCTGGATTATTCAGTGCCCCACATGACCCCACCTTCCTGCTTCTCATTTTTCTTTTTCTTATTGGACTTACAGGAAGCACTAGATGAAGTAAGTCATCTCAAAGAGGAACATCTCTGCCTAAAATCAGTTGTTTCTAAAAACCTGAGAATTGGTTGATTAATACCAACAAGGCCAGGAATACTTTATGGCAGGATACTTCCAAATTTTCCAGTATGGCTCTCGGATTTCATAGGTCTGTTGTATCAAGAAGTGAATTTCACTTTTGTTCACCTTTCTCCAATATCAGTGATCAGGATCAGGCACTGACTGGGATACTGGAGGTTTCTGCAGGACTTAGACGTGTTGGGAAAATAATGCAGTAGTTCTTTTTCCACTAACATTCATCAGATGTAACTGAGCAGCAGTCACCTTTGTATTTCAGAGATAAGGGTACCCTGGGATGACTGGATAACTCTGGCAACTGTTGCCATCAGAGCAGTTGTTTTAGGGTATGGACCCAGCAAAACACACACAGGTTGTGGTTTGAAGTCTGGCATCACACTTCTTACTTGCTGTGTTGATTCTCCCATCGAGTTGATCCCCCATCAAAGTGCTTTTTGTTAAAATCGAGGATTTATTTCTTGCCCATCTACCCAGCCAAGCTATTCA